TGTTGAAAGGTCCAACGTCTCCCAAGCCTCAGGTGTGTGACGGACTGCATCACGTTTCCATCCAATATCTCCTGGTACTGAAGAGAATTCATGGTACCTTGCACACGCTGAAGCTTCCCTGTACCTGCAGAAGCAAAACAGCCCCAAAGCATGATTGACCCTCCACCATGCTTCACAGTAGGCAAGGTGTTCTTTTCATCATAGGCCTTGTTCTTCCTCCTCCAAACATAGCGTTGATCCATGGGCCCAAACAGTTCTAATTTTGTTTCATCAGTCCACAGAACACTATCCCACAACTTTTGTGGTTTGTCCACATGGCTTTTGGCATACTGCAGTCGACTCTTCTTATTCTTTGGAGACAGCAAGGGGGTACGCCTGGGAGTTCTGGCACGGAGGCCTTCATTACGCAGTGTGCGTCTTATTGTCTGGGCTGAAACTTCTGTACCCACATCTGACAAATCTTTTCTCAGTTCCTCAGCAGTCACACGGGGACTTCTCTCCACTCTACGCTTCAGGTAGCGCACAGCAGTCGAAGTCAGCATCTTCTTTCTGCCACGACCAGGTAGCGTTTCAACAGTGCCCTTTGCCTTGAATTTGCGAATGATGCTTCCTAAGGTGTCTCTTGGTATGTTTAACATCTTTGCAATCTTCTTATAGCCATTGCCCTTCCTGTGAAGAGAAATCACCTCTTCTCTTGTCTTCCTGGACCATTCTCTTGCCTTCACCATGTTTGTAACCACACCAGTAAATGTCTAGAAGGAGCTGAGTATCACAGTCATTTTAAAGCTGCCTAATTGGTGCTTATTATGCTTGATTGCTGCTCGGTGACATCCACAGGTGTTTTCAATACCTGATGGAAAGCACCTGTATGAACCTCTGTTCTTCAGAGTGGTAGTCTTTAAGGGGTTGAATAATTGTGGCAATGAAGAAACCACATAAGAACCATTTACTACTGTATTACATAAACAATTGATGTCATTTTAGTTGCATTTGGGTAGTTACAACGTCCTTGTAGGATTTGATTCTGAATACAATTCCAAATGTACACTATAGTCCCTAAACCCCTTTACAGCATTGGGGGTTGAATAATTTTGGACACAACTGTAGCCTTTATGTCCCATTCGGCGGGTAGTACCGCCCCTGGATTTGACCCATTCAAGCAAATGGGCAACCCACAGAGTCCCCCAGCTATCTTCAGAGTCCTATGACCACTGGAGAGGAAATTGTTTGTGTGACGGGAGTGACCTGGGTGGGGGGGCCCATGGAACACAGCCCCCTTTGGAGAGGTGGGGAGACCCCTGTCTCAGCTCCCCATATCCCTCTTATGTGTAAGTCACCCTGTGCCTGTAAGGGGTACAGGGTGGAATGTCCTGATATTGTGAAGACATGTATAGGTGGGGGGTTGTTCATTCTTTACTGCCAGGTGGTCCCATTGTTCTATTGTGTCTTGCTTGTGAGCAAACTATTATGGGATGTAGGTGTTTGTGTATTGGCTTGGTGGGAAGTGTCTGCTTTGTGTCTGTTGTTACTAAATGTATTTCCCGCCCTGTGTATATATCTTGTGTCTGTGTTACAATAAAGCAGTCCATTTCCTGTTTTAATACAAGTCTGGTGCTGTATCATCTTGTATGGCCACCGGTGTTGTCCGTGGATCTGTGTTCGGACGGGGAAGCGGGAGTCTAACAGAAATACCCTAGTGCAGTCGGGGTCCGGTTCTGGGTTCCGTTACAGTTTGTCCTACTTAAAGCGCGAACACTAGGCCACTTTTCCTCCTATGGATCACTAAGCCCGGTCAGGTTTTCTTCCCTCCCATTGACTGACAGGTCCTTTATCTCTTACTGACCATTGTCTTTGCCTTTCCACTTGGTTAAAAACATGAACAATGACCACTGCACCGTGAACACATGCACTTGGTGGTGTGTGTGTGTGTGGGGGGGGGGTTGGGAGATGTAATCTGCAGACATATAAAACTTGCCATGGGACCCTCTGATTTCTAGTTATGCCCCTGCAAGCAAGTCCTTCTACCATCTACACTTCCTTCCATGGAATACTTCTCTATCAAGTGCTCTAGTCTTATGGTGTGTCCTCGTGTTTACAGCAAAGGGGAAGGAGGGCATCTCACAACTCTTTTTCCCTGCTGTCTGTATTCTTCCCCAGGGTGGCAAAATCATCTAACTTCAATTCTACCCCTATATATTTCTCTGTGTTATCACCTCCGACCCAAGCCCCTCATACAGGGTCCAGCCACCAACCAAGTCCAAAACATGAATGGGTCTCCTGGCATTAGGGAGGATCTGGAGAACTCTCCCCAGGAGCTGCAGGAGGATTCCCTTCTCATTGATTAATACATTGTTTTTGTTTCCTCCCAGAGTAGCAGTAAATGGCTGATTTGAACTGCCAGAAAAAATGCATGTGGTATTTGTATGACTATGGTGGTCCTGAGAGCCTCAGTAGGGTATTCCCTGCTCATGGAGAACTTCAGACGAAAAACTAAATGGTTAGTCATTTTTTATAATATCATGTGATTTGTGCAAATCTTTTCTTCTCCTTCCTCTTTCTCCTTCCTCCTTGTTCTTCCTTACTTCTTCCTCCTCCCACCTTCCCCCTTCCTCTTCTTATTCATCTTTCTTCCTCCTCCTTCCTTCCTTCTTCCTCCTTCCTCTTCCTTCTTCTTCCAACGTCTTCCTTTTCCTCTTTCTCCTTCTCCCTTCTTCCTCCTTTCCTCTTCCTCCTTCCTGTTTCTTCTTCCTTCTTCCCCTCTTTCACCTTCATCCTCCTTCCTTCCTTCTCTTCCTCCTTCCTCTTCCTCCTCTTCTTACTCTTCCTCCTTCTTCATCCTTGTTCCTCTTCTTCCTTCTTCCAACATCTTCTTCCTTTTCCACCTTCCTTCTTCCTCTTATCATCTTTCCTTTTTCCTATTTTTCCTTCCTCTTCCTCCTTCCTCTTCCTCCTTCCTCTTCCTTCTTTCTCTTCCTCCTTTTTTTTTCCTCTTCCTCCTTCCTTCTTTCTTCTTCCTCTTCCTGCTTAATTTTCTTCCTCCTTCCTCTTTCTTCTTCTTCCTTTTGCTAATTCCTTCTTCCTCTTTCTTCTCCCTTCTTCCTCTTTTCCTCTTCCCCCTTCTTATTCCTCCTTCCTTTTTTCTCTTTCTCCTTTTTCTTCCTCTTCCTCCTTTCTTCTTCTTCTTCTTCTTCCTTCTTATTATTATTATTATTATCATCACTATCATAACTATTATTGCAGTTGGATACTTATATTGTACTTTGCAGTTATTTTTTTATATATAATCTTACATTAACTCTGCATGTTTTCCCTTACACACAGTAGTTCTCCTCATTACAATTATCATGGAGATGCAGTACCAGATTTCAACCATGGTGGCGCTGTAAGTACAAACTGAAATGGTTCAACCCGGCCCGACAAAAAAGTAAATAAGGACTCCATTTTTCTCATATGAAGAATGTTCCCTTCTAGGTTGAGAGATCCCCTTTATGAAATCTCTGTGTCCAGTCTTGTATACAGTAGTCAGTGAAGGATGACACCATGCAGGGGAATCATTCATCCCGGTACACGGGTCTTACCTCCATCACCAGAAATCACCGTCATAAAATAAAACCAGATTTATTGCCGTCTTATTTGCAGTTTCAGAATTCCGGGTTGTACAAGGCCAAGCGGCGGCGTGCGGCGGCGAATTCATACATATGAGACCTGTGTTACCTTCACTGTGTAAATATGTTTTATCTTCCAGATTTACTCATTGCTGAGCGGAGGGAGACGGAAAATATCCAACGAGCCGCATGGTATACCGAGCAACATGTTCCATTATTCTTCTCTGACCTTCACATTCCTATCTCTGTTACCGAACACAATTGTCTTGTTATATGTATATCTGCGGCGTTACATCCATCCATCTATATTCTATCTATATTCTATCCATCCATCTATATTCTATCCATCCATCTATATTCTATCTATATTCTATCTATCTATCTATCTATCTATCTATCTATCTATCTATCTATCTATCTATCTATATATCTATCTATCTATCTATCTATCTATCTATCTATTATCTATTATCTATCTATCTATCTATCTATCTATCTATCTATTATCTATCTGTCTATCTATCTATCTATCTATCTATCTATCTATCTATCTATCTATTATCTATCTATCTATCTATCTATCTAATCTATTATCTATCTATCTATCTATCTATCTATCTATCTATCTATCTATCTATCTATATCTATCTATCTATCTATCTATTATCTATCTATTATCTATCTATCTATCTATCTGTCTATCTATCTATCTATCTATCTATCTATCTATCTATCTATCTATCTATCTATCTATCTATATTATCTATCTATTATCTATCTATCTATTATCTATCTATATATCTATCTATCTATCTATCTATCTATCTATCTATCTATCTATCTATCTATCTATCTATCTATCTATCTATCTATTATCTATCTATTATCTATTATCTATCTATCTATCTATCTATCTATCTATCTATTATCTATCTATCTATCTATCTATCTATCTATTGGAAGGGGGTGAAAGTGTCCGGACTGGAAGTGGGTGAAAGTGTCCAGACTGGAAGTGGGTGAAAGTGTCCAGACTGGAAGTGGGGTGAAAGTGTCCAGACTGGAAGTGGGTGAAAGTGTCCAGACTGGAAGTGAGTGAAAGTGTCCGGACTGGAGGGGGTGAAAGTGTCCAGACTGGAAGTGAGTGAAAGTGTCCGGACTGGAAGTGAGTGAAAGTGTCCGGACTGGAAGTGAGTGAAAGTGTCCGGACTGGAAGGGGGGAAAGTGTCCGGACTGGAAGGGGGGGAAAGCGTCCGGACTGGAAGGGGGTGAAAGCGTCCGGACTGGAAGGGGGTGAAAGCGTCCGGACTGGAAGTGAGTGAAAGTGTCCGGACTGGAAGGGGGGTGAAAGTGTCCGGACTGGAAGGGGGGGAAAGCGTCCGGACTGGAAGGGGGTGAAAGCGTCCGGACTGGAAGGGGGTGAAAGCGTCCGGACTGGAAGGGGGTGAAAGCGTCCGGACTGGAAGGGGGGGAAAGCGTCCAGACTGGAAGTGAGTGAAAGCGTCCGGACTGGAAGTGAGTGAAAGCGTCCGGACTGGAAGGGGGGTGAAAGCGTCCGGACTGGAAGGGGGGGAAAGCGTCCGGACTGGAAGGGCGTGAAAGCGTCCGGACTGGAAGGGGGTGAAAGCGTCCGGACTGGAAGGGGGTGAAAGCGTCCGGACTGGAAGGGGGTGAAAGCGTCCGGACTGGAAGGGGGTGAAAGCGTCCGGACTGGAAGGGGGTGAAAGCGTCCGGACTGGAAGGGGGGGAAAGCGTCCAGACTGGAAGTGAGTGAAAGCGTCCAGACTGGAAGTGAGTGAAAGCGTCCGGACTGGAAGGGGGTGAAAGTGTCCGGACTGGAAGTGAGTGAAAGCGTCCGGACTGGAAGTGAGTGAAAGCATCCGGACTGGAAGGGGGGTGAAAGCGTCCAGACTGGAAGTGAGTGAAAGCGTCCGGACTGGAAGTGAGTGAAAGCATCCGGACTGGAAGGGGGGGAAAGCGTCCAGACTGGAAGTGAGTGAAAGCATCCGGACTGGAAGGGGGGTGAAAGCGTCCGGACTGGAAGGGGGGGAAAGCGTCCGGACTGGAAGGGGGTGAAAGCGTCCGGACTGGAAGGGGGTGAAAGCGTCCAGACGGGAAGGGGGTGAAAGCGTCCGGACTGGAAGGGGGTGAAAGCGTCCGGACTGGAAGGGGGGGAAAGCGTCCGGACTGGAAGGGGGGGAAAGCGTCCGGACTGGAAGGGGGTGAAAGCGTCCAGACTGGAAGGGGGTGAAAGCGTCCGGACTGGAAGGGGGTGAAAGTGTCCAGACTGGAAGTGAGTGAAAGTGTCCGGACTGGAAGGGGGGTGAAAGTGTCCGGACTGGAAGGGGGTGAAAGCGTCCGGACTGGAAGGGGGTGAAAGCGTCCGGACTGGAAGGGGGGGAAAGCGTCCGGACTGGAAGGGGGGGAAAGCGTCCGGACTGGAAGGGGGGGAAAGTGTCCGGACTGGAAGGGGTGTAAGTTTCCCAGGATGCATTGTGCCTGGGAGGTTTATAGTGCCTGCCCTGTGCCTCTAAAGTGCACTTTATAAAGAGTTTTGAACAGATAAAATACTTTTTTTTACTTGTTTCTGACCTCCAGAATGGATTAATTGGTTTTCAATGCATTTACAAATTTTTTCACAATACAAAGTAAGTTTCCCCAGGGTGTTTTGTGCCTGAGAGGTTTATAGCGCCGGCTCCATGCCTTTAAAGTGCACTTATAAAGAGTTTTGAACAGATAAGACTTTTTGTTTGACTTTTTCTGACCTCCGGAACAGATTAATTGGTTTTTCAATGCAATTATGAATTTTTTTTTAATCATGTCCCTGTACATTATTTATGCCTTTAAAGAGCACTTTATTAAGAGTTTTGAACAGATAAAATATTTTTTTTTTTTTACTTTTTCTGACCTCCGGAACGGATTAATTGTTTTTCAATAAATGTACTATTTTTTTTTAAATCATGTCCCTGTACAGTATTTATACCTATAAAGTGCCCTTTATAAAGAGTTTCGAACAGATAAAAGACTTTTTTTACTTTTTCCTGACTTCCGGAACAGATTAATTGTTTTTCAATGCATTCCTACGGGAATTACAAATTTTTTGCAATACGAAACGTCCCGGAGAACGCATTAAATTCGTAAACCGCGGTACGCCTGTACTTTTTTTTTTTCCTATGCTCAGTTCGAATTGCCCGGCTTTATTATAGATTTACCTCCATCTCCCTTTCTGGCATCGATTCTACAAGTCCTGCTGCTGTTTACAGAAAAACAACTGGGAAATAATTTCTAATCATTTTGATGTTTTTCTAGGTTTTGACAGTATTGCTGATTGGTGGCGGCGGTGGTGTGGTGGGGGAGGGGTGATTAATTCAGTAACTTGCAGCGTTAATTGTGAAAAGATCGCCACAATTTACACTGTTTATGAGAAGTGCGGATGTGTTACAAATTGAATCCAATATGTGAAACGACTTATTTATGGACAAAACATGGAGCTAATGTTCCGTCTCATTTCTCTGAATGCTAAACGCTGTGATTATTATTAACAAAAATGGTGGTTTTAATGTCAATATTAACTAAGCAATGAAAAAAAAGAAATTGTGTGTGTAACGGAACCGACCCCCGACTGCACCAGGGTATTCCCGTTAGACTCCCGCTTCCCTTTCTGAACACAGATCCCCGGACCCCACCCTTGAAATAAATCAGGAGATAGACTGCTATATTTTAACACAGATACAAGATATATACATTCAAAGGAACAACCCCCCCTCCCTGCATAAGGACACAGGGCGGGGCAATCCAAATCTAGCAACAAGAAACCTATCAGCAGACACCCCCCACCAAGCCAATACACAAACACATACAGTCAGGTCCATAAATATTGGGACATGGACACAATTCTAACATTTTTGGCTCTATACACCACAATGGATTTGAAATGAAATGAACAAGATGTGCTTTAACTGCAGACTGTCAGCTTTAATTTGAGGGTATTTACATCCAAATCAGGTGAACGGTGTAGGAATGACAACAGTTTGCATATCTGTCTCCCACTTGTTAAGGGACCAAAAGTATTGGGACAGAATAATAATCATAAATCAAACTTTCACTTTTTAATACTTGGTTGCAAATCCTTTGCAGTCAATGACAGCCTGAAGTGTGGAACGCATAGACAAATGTATAGAGCCAAAAATGTTAGAATTGTGTCCATGTCCCAATATTTATGGACCTGACTGTACATCCCATAATAGTTTGCTCCCAAGCAAGACACACAATAGAACAATGGGATGCAGTCACATAACACCAAACAATCCACAACCCCCACCTATACATGTCTACACAATATCAGGACATTCCACCCTGCACCCTAACAGGCACAGGGTGACTTACACATAATAGGGATATGGGGAGCTGAGACAGGGGTCTCCCCACCTCTCTAAAGGGGGCTGTGTTCCATGGGCCCCCTACCCAAAGTCACTCCCGTCACAGTATGTTTGTTCATAAATTCTGGAATGTACAGGTTTTGGTTGGTGGTAGATTGGTTTTCATGTCTCAGCCCGGGTTCACATATGTGCGGTACACATACCGCATGTGATTCGCACGTGAACCGCACCGCATTCCCTGCCAGTCACATGTAATTTGTGTGCGGTGCGATCGGAGTCGTACATTTTGTATGGCTCTAATCGCACCGCATTCACACCAAAAACGTACAGGACTCTTTTTTGGGTCCGCACTAGAATCGAATCACATGGGTATTCAGACCTATGGGATCTGATTCTGCACATCGCACCGTGTTTTACAGACCGCTTTCAGGGTGCTGTTACCATACACACCCGCAGCGGTTCGCATGAATGGGGGGCGATTGTGATGCAGTGCGCAATTCACACTGAAAATGCTGAGAATTCTGGACTGCATCAGTTGAACCCGGGCTCAGGGTCCGTTTTCCTCCTGAAGCCCAACTCAAGTCCAAACATTTTGTTTCATGCTGCGTAGAGTTGGGAGTCTTAGAAGATTTGTCTCACTCCCAATCACAGCCTGCCTCTTGAATACGGCTCCTCCCAATCACAGCCTGCCTCTTGAATACGGCTCCTCCTGATCACAGCCTGCCTCTTGAATACGGCTCCTCCTGATCACAGCCTGCCTCTTGAATACGGCTCCTCCCAATCACAGCCTGCCTCTTGAATACGGCTCCTCCTGATCACAGCCTGCCTCTTGAATACGGCTCCTCCTGATCACAGCCTGCCTCTTGAATACGGCTCCTCCTGATCACAGCCTGCCTCTTGAATACGGCTCCTCCTGATCACAGCCTGCCTCTTGAATACGGCTCCTCCCAATCACAGCCTGCCTCTTGAATACGGCTCCTCCCAATCACAGCCTGCCTCTTGAATACGGCTCCTCCTGATCACAGCCTGCCTCTTGAATACGGCTCCTCCCAATCACAGCCTGCCTCTTGAATACGGCTCCTTCCAATCACAGCCTGCCTCTTGAATACGGCTCCTCCTGATCACAGCCTGCCTCTTGAATACGGCTCCTCCCGATCACAGCCTGCCTCTTGAATACGGCTCCTCCTGATCACAGCCTGCCTCTTGAATACGGCTCCTCCCAATCACAGCCTGCCTCTTGAATACGGCTCCTCCCAATCACAGCCTGCCTCTTGAATACGGCTCCTCCTGATCACAGCCTGCCTCTTGAATACGGCTCCTCCTGATCACAGCCTGCCTCTTGAATACGGCTCCTCCTGATCACAGCCTGCCTCTTGAATACGGCTCCTCCTGATCACAGCCTCCTCCTCCTGATCACAGCCTGCCTCTTGAATACGGCTCCTCCTGATCACAGCCTGCCTCTTGAATACGGCTCCTCCTGATCACAGCCTCCTCCTCCTGATCACAGCCTGCCTCTTGAATACGGCTCCTCCTGATCACAGCCTGCCTCTTGAATACGGCTCCTCCTGATCACAGCCTGACTTTTGAACACCTGCTATGCACAACAATACAAAGCAGAGTGCTGGTGCTGACAAGGGAGAGAACTGTGTGTTTTCCATACAGACCTCTCCTCTGTCACTGTTCTTTGGCGATCGCCGGGTGCCGGCGGGGAAACTCTGTGATTGACAGCTGTAACCGCCAATATCACAGGGGCACCCGGCAATACCAAATCACGTACATATAAGTGATTTTGTACAGCCCTGCTCCCCTGTAGCAGTAGTTCTGCAATAGGGGGCGGTCGGGAAGCGGTTAATGTAACAATTACATGCTAAAAATGTAACCCTGATTGGTTGTCCCGGACGCCCAATTCTCATAAATCCTTCTCCACGTCGGTCTGCAGTGTGAATCCTTCCATTAATGTAGAAATGAGTCACTTAGACATTCGTCCATTTCTTAGCGCGCATTGCCTCCCAAGCATGTCACGTCACACGTCTCCTCCCCTCCGCGTCTCAGAGTTTTCGGTGCCGGTTGTCACTCTGCTTGTTAAATGATGCAACACATTAACCTTCCTCGAAATCCAGTCCAGAGATCATCCTCAGATTGGGCGCCTAGCATTTATTTCCACTGCGTCTACGATAGCAAACATTTCACTGAGCTCGGAAAATCTGCTACAATTCGTACAAATGATCCCATTGGATTCTCTTAGTCCTCACGCACGCGGGACGTTTACAGCAGCTGTTTTTGGCTTTTTGACGTTTTTTGAAGTTTTGTTCTACAGCCAGTAAACCCCCCAGCATGTTATCCTAGGTGTCCATGCACACATAGACTGCAATCAACTTTTTGGAGGAGTTTATTATCTATAAAAACGCTCTTGTAATGGCAACTTTGGGAATTCCAGGTAAAACTCCGGACATGAACTTGAGGAAAACAAGCTTTGGGGATGGAGTCCATTAGGTTGGGGTGTCCCGGGTCCCTGCACTGGGGGCGGAGTTCATTAGATTGGGGTGTCCTGGGTCCCTGCTCTGGGGACGGAGTCCATTAGGTTGGGGTGTCCCCGGTCTCTGCTCCGGGGATGGAGTCCATTAGGTTGGGGTGTCCCTGCTCTGGGGACAGAGTCCTTTAGGTTGGGGGTGTCCCCAGTCCCTGCTCTTGGGCCGGAGTCCATTAGGTTGGGGTGTCCCTGCTCTGGGGACGGAGTCCATTAGGTTGGGGTGTCCCTGCTGTGGGGATGAAGTCCATTAGGTTGGGGTGTCCCCGGTCTCTGCTCCGGGGATGGAGTCCATTAGGTTGGGGTGTCCCAAATCCCTGCTCTGAGAACAGAGTCCATTAGGTTGGGGTGTCCCCGGTCCCTGCTCTTGGGCCGGAGTCCATTAGGTTGGGGTGCCCTGCTGTGGGGATGAAGTCCATTAGGTTGGGGTGTCCCCCGGTCTCTGCTCCGGGGACGGAGTCCATTAGGTTGGGGTGTCCTCTGTCCCTGCT